TCTGGCTTGTGTGCCAATCTCTGTCTTGTATGCTTCTTTGTGTCTTGTATGTCCCATGTGTCTTGTATGCCTCCCTGTGTCTTGACTGCCCCCTTGTGTCTTGTGTGGCTCCTGTGTCTTGAATGCCACTCGTGTCTTGCATTCCCCCTGTGCCTTGTATGCCCCCTGTGTCTTGTATGCCCCTTGTCTTTTGTATGCCACGTGGTTTGTGTGCCCCCCGTGTCTTGTATGCCCCCCGTGTTTTGTATGCCCCCAATGGTCTTGTATGCCAGCTGTGTCTTGTATGCCCCACTGTGTCTTGTATGCCCCCTCTGTCTTGTGTACCTTTGCTCTGTCTTGTATGCTCTCTTGTGTCTTGTGTGTCCCGTGTGTCTTGTCTGCCCCACTGTGTAGTGTATGCTCCCCGGGGTCTTGCACGCCGCCTGTGTCCTGTATGCTCTGCGTTGTACACTTATGAGAAGCCTTCAGACAAAGCATCAACATTCATGGGCTCTGGGCCTCTCTCTCGGAGCTGCTTTTCTTTGTAAGTTGTTCATATCTTTATGAATATGAACCTGACGTGGAGTGACGTCCATTTTCTTGGGAACGATTTTTTTTTTTTTTTTTTTTTGTATCAGAGCAGGGGTCGACAGCCCCCTGTCTTGTGTGCCCCCCTTTGTCTTGTATGCCCCCTGTGTCTTGTATGCCCCCACTGTGTCTTGTATGCCCCCCTGTGTCTTGAATGCTGTCAGTCCCTCGCATTCCCCCCACTGTGTCTTGTATGCCCCCATGTGTCTTGTATGCCACCTGAATTTTCATGTTCCCTGTGTCTTGCATGCCCCCTGCGTCTGGTATATTCCCATCCCGTGTATCGCATGCCCCCCTTGTGTCTTTTATGCCCCCCCCCCCCTGTGTCTTGTATGTTACCTGTGTCTTGAATGCTGTCTGTGTCTTGCATGCCCCTCCGTGTCTTGTATGCCCCCTGTGCCTTGGATGTTACCTGTGTCTTCATGTTCCCTGTGTCTTGCATGCCCCCTGTGTCTGGTTTTCCCCCCTCTGTGTCTTATATGCCCCCCTTGTGTCTCGTATGCCCCTCTGTGTCTTGTATGCCCCCCCTGTGCCTCTTTGTATGCACCCTTGTGTCTTGTATGCCCCCCCCCTGCGTTTCAATACTCCCCCCCTGTGTCTTGTGTGCCCCTCTGTGTCTTGTATGCCCCCTGTGTCTTGTATGCCCCCTGTGTCTTGTGTGCCTCCCTGTGTCTTGTATGCCCACTGCATCGTTTATGCCCCCAGTGTCTCGTATGCCCCTTGTGCCTTGTATGCCCCCTGTGTCTTGCATGCCCTATGCCACCTGTGTCATGTATGCCCCCCAGTGTTTTTAGTCTCCTTCCTATGTCCTGCATGTCCTCCTGTGTCTTGTGTTCCCCCCTGTTTCAATTGTGCCTCCTGTGTCTTGAATGCCCCCCCTGTGTCTTGCATGCCCTGTTCCCCCTGTGTCTTGTATGCCCCCCCTGTGTCTTGTATGCCCCCTGTGTCTTGTATGCCCCCTGCTGCATCTTGTATGTCCCCTGTGTCTTGTATGCCCCCTGTGTCTTGTATGCCCTTTGTGTTGTGTATGCCCCCCTACCTGTGTCCTGAACGCCCTCATGTGTCTTGCATGACCCCTGTTTCGATTGTGCCCCCTGTGTCTTGACTGCCCCCCTGTGTCTTGCATGCCCTATTCCTCCTGTCTCCTGGTATGCTCCCTGCGTCGTGCATGCCCCCCTGCGTTTCAAGTATGCCCCCCTGTGTCTTGTGTGCCCTTCCGTGTCTTGTATGCCCCCTGTGTCTTGTATGCCCCCCCTGTGTTTTGTGTGGCCACCGCTGGTTTCGCCGACGGCTTGTTTCGCCCGGCTGGTTTCGCCCGGCTGATTTCGCCGCCCGGCGGAACCAGCTCCGTCGGCGAAACCAGCTCCGTCGGCGAAACCAGCTGCCGTCGGCGAAACCAGCTGCCGTCGACGAAACCAGCTGCCGTCGGCGAAAGTACCCGGCCCGACCCGCCCGCTGGGGTCAGCACGCCCGACCCGACCTGCACGTTACGGTTTGCGCGTGCTCGGTCGAGCGCGCCCCACACTTCAAGGTCCCGCCCGCCCGACCCGACCCGCCCGGTAGGGTCCGCCCGCCCGACCCGACCCGTCCCGCCCGCTAAGGTTCCGCCCGCCCGACCCGCCCGTTAGGGTTCGCGCGTGCTCGGTCGAGCGCGCCCCACATTTCAATGTCCCGCCCGCCCGACCCGACCCGCTCGTTAGGGTCCGCCCGCCCGACCCGACCCGTCCCGCCCGCTAAGGTTCCGCCCGCCCGACCCGCCCGTTAGGGTTCGCGCGTGCTCGGTCGAGCGCGCCCCACATTTTACTGTCCCGCCCGCCCGCCCGACCCGACCCGCCCGTTAGGGTTCGCCCGCCCGACCCGACCCGACCCGCCCGCGAAGGTTCCGCCCGCCCAACCCGACCCGCCCGTTAGGGTTCGCGCGTGCTCGGTCGAGTGCGCTCACACTTTACTGTCCCCCCTGCCCGACCCGACCCGCCCGTCAGGGTCCGCCCGCCCGACCCGGCCCGACCCGCCCGCTAGGGTCCGCCCGCCCGATCCGACCCGCCCGTTAGGGCTCGCGTCGGCGAAACCAGCGCTGGCGAAACCAGCGCTGGCGAAACCAGTCGCCGGCGATACCAGCGGGGCGAGCCAGCGGGGCGAAACCAGCGCCGGCGACACCAGCGCCGGCGAAACCAGCCCATGCCTCTTATTTACCCCCTGCATCTTCTATGCTCCCTGTGTTTTGTCCCCCCCCTCCGAATCGTATGCTTCAGTTGTGTCCTGCATGCGCCTTGTGTCTTGTATGCGTCGTAGCCCCCGCTTGTGTCTTGTATGCCCCCTGTGCCTTGTATGTCCCGTGTGTCCTATATGCCCCCCTTTCTCCTGTATGCCCCGTGTGTCCTGTATGCCCCCTGTGTCTTGTATGCACTCTGTGCCTTGTGTGCCACTCCCCCATTATGTCTGGTATGCTCCCTGTGTCTTGTGTGCCCCCTGTGTTTTGTATGGCCCCCTGTGTCTTGTATCCCCCCCTGTGTTTTGTGTGCCCCCCTGTATCTTGGACGCACCCCCCCTGTGTCTTAAGGCTCCCTGTGTTTTGAATGTCCTTTGTGTATTGTATGCCCCCTGTGCCTTGTATTGTAGGCACCCTGTGTCTTGTATGCCCCAATGTGTCTTGAATGCCCTGCTGTGTCTTGTATGCTCCCCTGTTTCTTGTATGCCCCCCCGTGTCTTGTGTGCCCCTCTGTGTCTTGTATGCCCCCTGTGTCTCGCATGTCCTCTGTGTCTTGTACGCACCCCCGTGTCTTGTGTGCCGCCTGGGTCTGACTCGCCTCCTGTGTCTTGTATGGCCTCTGTGTCTTGTATGCCCCCCTGTGTCTTGTATGTCCACCTGAGTCTAGTATGCCCCCCTGTGTCTTATATGCCCCTCTGTGTCTCGTATCCCCCGTGTCTTGTATGCCCCCCCCCTGTGTCCTGTGTGCCCCCTCCGTGTCTGGTATGCCCCCCCGTCTCTTGTATGCCCTCTGTGCCTTGTATGCACACTGTGTGTTGTTCGCCAGCCCGTGTGTTTTGTGTGCCCCCTGTGCCTTTCATGTCCTCTGTGTCTTGCATGCCCCCTGTGTCTTGTATGTCCCCCTATGTCTGGTGTGCCCCGTGTGTTTTGTATTCACCCCTGTGTCTTGTGTGCCTCCCATGTGACTGGCATTCCCCCCTGTGTCTTGTACGCTCCCCCCTTGTCTCGGGTACCCCCCTTTGTCTTTTATGCCCCCATGCCTGTATCCTGTGTGCCCCCATTGTGTCTTGTATGCCCCGCTGTGTCTGTGTTCCCGTGTCTGGTATGCTTCCCCTATGTCTTGCATGCCCCCTGTGTTGTGTGCCTCCCAGGGTCTTACTCGCCCCGTGTGTCTCGTATGCCCCCCTGGGTCTTGTATGCCCCCCTGTGTCTTGTATGCCCCCTACATCCTGTATGCCCTCCTGTGTCTTGTATGCCCTCCTGTGTCGTGTATGCCCCCCCCTGTCTTGTATGCCCCCCTTGTGCCTTGTAGGCCCCCCTGTGTCTTGTGTGCTTCCTGGGTCTCATTCGCCCCCTGTGTCTGGTATGTCTTCTTTGTCTTGTATGCCCCCGGGTGTCTTTTATGCCCCTTTTGTCCTCCTTCCATGCCCCGTGTGTCTTGTATTCCCCCTTGTGTCTTGTGTGCCCCTGGGTCTTGTTCGCCCCCTGTGTCTTCTATGTCCTCTGTGTATTGTATGCCCCCCCCTGTGTTTTGTAGGCACCCTGTGTCTTGTATGCCCCCCCCTGTGTCTTGCGTGCCGCTTGTGTCTTGTATGCCCACCTGCGTCCTGTATGCCCCCCTGCGTCTTCTATGCCCCCCCCTGTGCTTTTTTATGCCTCCATATGTCTGGTATGCCCTCCTATGTCTTGTACTCTCCCCTGTGTCGTGTACGCCCCCCCTGTGTCTTGTCCGCCCTCCCCTGTTGCTTTTATGCCCCCCTGGCTCTTATTTGCCTCCTCCTGTGTCTTTCATGTCCTCTGAAGTCTTGTATGCCTCCTGTGTCTTGTATGCCCCCCTGCCCCTTGTATGCCCCCCTATGTCTTGTATGCACCCCTGTGTCTTGTGTGCCCCCCTGTGTCTTGTGTGCCCCCCTGGGTCTTCTTCGCCCCCTGTGTCTTGTACGCCCATTGTGTGCCCCCTGGGTCTTTCCGCCCTGTGTCTTGTATGCCCCCTTGTGTCTTGTATGCCCCCCTGTGCCTTGTACTCTCCCCTGTGTCTTGTGTGCTCCCCCTGAGTCTGGTGTGTTCCCCGGGGCGTGCAAGTCGCAGGGGCTAGCGGCGGCATACAAGACACATGGGGCGAGCGGCGGCATGCAAGACAGGGACAGGCGGCGGCGGCAGAAAAAGGGCCCCTCCCTGCTCCAGCCCCTCGGCGCTGTGAGTTGGGACCCCGCGCGGCCCACAGTTGCTCGTGTCGGCGGGCTCCCGGGACGACACGCTGTGGATCCTGCTGCGAGGGGAGGTGGAAGGACGCCCGGCGAGCTTCCTCTTTTTCCAGGAGCCTGGCCGAGCGGGTACGTTCGGTATCAAATCACGGGAGTCTTTTACGTCTTCAATGCGCTGGCGTGCGCTAGCGTGTGATAATCGACTAGACAGCTCAGATTTGGCGTCGATTAGAGTCGATTGACGTCGATTCGCGCCGATTGGCGTCGGTCAGCGTCGATTCGCAAGGGCCGGCAAGATGGCATGGGAGGTGGGATGCTCCCAGGAATTGCCACCGAGCTTTTTCCAGGAGCCTGGCTGAGGGGTTACGGGGGGGAGGGGAGGAAGTCACGGGGGGGGGGCAGGCGGCGGTTGTCTCAGCTTGCTGACGGGTCGTCGTGCTCTGGCCCTCAAGGGGCGGGCGCTCGCAGGGGCTGACTGGCCACGAGGAGGAGGAGGGAAGGCCAGACCACGCCCCACGTGGGCCGGCACTGAAGAGAGGGTCAGCCCTGCTCGGAGCCCCAATCCAGATTCGAAATGATGCCTCCTGTCGCCAGCGGCACTCGGCGCGCATGGCGGCAAAGGGGCGGAAAAGAGGGAGGAGGGGGTGGGGAAGAAGTCCTCCCTCCCAGTGATTTCCTCCCCCCCTCCTCCCCCCTCCTCCTTGCCCCTCCCCTTCCGCCCCGCCGCATCTGGTTGAGCGGTGGCGACGCCAACGAGTTTCTTTTTGTTCCTCCCCCCAGTCGGGCCTGCGTGAGGGCATCGCGCCTGCTCGGCGGAGAGAAGCACTGTCAGGGCTCGCCCGGTCTGCCAAGTCGTCGTGACCTGGGCGCTGGCTGGCTGTATGTGCACATTCGATGCAATGATGCGGTTTGTTAGGCTATGTGATGCTATGCCAGGAGCTGATTACAAGCTGCCGCCATGCTGTTACATGGGCATGCTGTGTTGTATCATCTGATGATGATCCTAGTGCTGGTGCTGAGGCTGTGCCATGCTGGTTCAGACGCCATGCTATGCGCTGCTGTGCGATGCAATGCAAAGCCATGCCGCACGGTGCTGCGCAATGGTATAGGCTGATGCTGCGATGTGCCGTGGCAGACGAGGCTAGGCTAGGCGTGCTACGCGATGCAACTGCGAATGCTTTGATTCAATATATCATCCTCCCCCCTCCTTCTCCCTCTCCTGGGCGGATGGGGCTATGAGTTCCTCAGGCGAACAAGTGGATACCGCTGGTCCGCGGCAGCTTCAACTTTCTCTCAGCAGCTGGTCCGCCCCACTTGCTGCCTGACGCCCGCTCCCATCGGGTGAGCAGTCCCGTCTTCGCGCTCGTCATCAGGCATCGGAGGCACGGCGAAGGCACGGCGAAGGCCACGGCGAGGCATCAGGCGCCGCCGACGGCGAGATGGCCACGGAGCTCGGGTTGGACGGCGCCTTCCTTGTGCCCGCGCGGACCCGCGCCGAGAAGGCCGTCTCCCTTGCCGACGGGGCCCGGGCTTTCGCGATCGCCCAGCCCACAGTGATGGCCGTGCACCTGGCATGGTCCGGTTCCTGCTCTCCAAGTCTGTTGCGCATGCCCTTTCTTATGATGCACGCCTCGTGCCTTCTCCGGCACTGGGCGAAGTAGCGGGGCCTGTGTGTGACAGGTTGCTGGCGGCCGTGCAGGATGCCACAGTCGGCAAGCAGCTCAACGACGCGTCCGTGGTGCAGTTAAGGCTGTGCTGCGCGCTCGGCGGGCTGGGACTGCGGCGCGAGGCGCTCGGGTGCAGCGCGGACGCAGCACTGTGGGCTGCTTGGACGTCCATGCGCCGCTCGGGTCCCCATGCTGTCCGCCGCGCTGGGCCTGCAGCTGCCCCATGTGCGCGGGCGAGTCGGACGCCACAGGCGCCCAACGCAGGCTCGAAGCGGCCAGGGTCATCGCTGACGCCCAGGGCGGCGTGAGGTTCACCTGGGACGCGGCGGCGGAGCACCGAGCAGGCCCAGGGGCGACTGACGTTGCGGTTGGTGACCTCGGCACTCTGCGGCTCGTTCCAGAGGCCACGCTGCCGTCGAGCCCGCAAGCCGGCCCGCCAGCGAGAGTGCCGAGGCGATTTGCCAGTCGCATTTTCCGGCAGCTGGAGGCGTTGGAGGCCACACGGCTTTGGGGCAGTCTGGGCGCAGAGCGGCGCGAGGGCCTACTGTCCTCTGGCAGCTCGGGCGCGGGCGCCCTTTGGCTTCAGATGCCCACGCAGCCGGCGGACTATTTCCCTACGGCGCACTTCTGGGCTGCCACGCTGGGGCGCTTCGGCGCGCTGTCTGCGCCTGCTGGGGCGACGTGCCGGATTTGGCGCAGGGATCGTGACTGCGAGGACGTCTGCGGCCAGCAGCTGGATCGAAGCCTCAAGCACGCGCAACTCTACAAGCAGGGCCCGGCCAGGATGAGACCGCACCGCGCCCTGGCGCTGACCCTCGCCCGCCTGCTCGGGGAGTGCCGGGCGGAGATCGACATCGAGTGAACCGTCACCGAGCTCGTCATTCCGACGGGCAGGGTCCAGGAAGCGATCCTCGACTTGGTGGTCACGTTCGCTGGCTCGGTATAGCCGCTGTTCGTCGACGTGACCATCAGATGCCCGCACGCTGCGCGGCACCTGCGTGTTGCGCCCATGGCGGGGGAGTCAGGGGCAAGCGCCAGCGTTACGGCAACGCGGTCCTCCCCGTGGCTGTGGAATCCTATGGCTGGCTTGGCGCTGCGGCTGTCCAGTCCCTGGAGCACCTGGCCATGGCGCCTGCATCCCTGATGCTTGGGCGGCCCCCATGCTGGTCCCCCGGTGGCGGGCCGCGTTGGGGCGCATCACCCAGTGGGCCGCTGCTGACATCGACCTCCTCGCCCTCGGTTGCGCCCCGACTGCCGCCCAGGCCCGGCTGGCCTGGGGCCGCGTGACGGGCGTGGCGGCGCAGCCGTAGCAGCCGAAATTGCATTATCATGTTGTGATTCGACCAGAGTTTGCTTCCAGGTGGTGCTTCAGAAGGGTGCCAAGAAATTGGGTATCGCAATGGGCTGCAAGTGCTAGTCGGGAAGAACGCCTTATGCTACTTTTGCAAGCACAGCCTGACTCCAAGGTCGACAACTCTTCTGCCGCCTGATGGCGTGTGGGCCTCGGGGTCGCCAGACGGAGGCACTGCTGGTACCAATGGCTTGGCCGACGGCGGTGGCAAGGCCAAGGCCAAAGGTGCGGCCCGCGGCGGGGGCAAGGATTTCGGAAACGGCAGCTGGAGCACCTTCGCGCTCCAGCAGCCTCGCCGGGACCTCCAAGGCGAAGCCCCCGCCGTCGAAGAACCCGTCGCAGATCCTGCAGTCGGTCATCGGCCAGGGGCACGCTCAGCGCGCCTTCGAGAAAGCCACGGCCGAGCTGGTCGACGCTGAGATGTGGGTGGAGGAGGCGAAGGAGGCACACCACGACGCGGCGATGGCCTTGGCCTGTGCGCGCTTGGACGAGCAGCGCACGATGGAGACCCAGAGCGTCGCCACCCCCGCCAAGGGCCCGACGCCCGCGGACGCATCGCATAGGAGGCCATTGCGGTGGCGGACCTGGACGAGCAGGAGTCAGCCAAGCAGTCCATCCTGGAGGAGCAGGCCACGCTATGGGCCCAGGCTGCGCGGGCCGAGGCGGTCGACGACGACCTCATGGGCAAGGACAGCGATGACGACGTGAAGACCCTGGCGCCACCCTGGCCGAGTCGCAGGTGGCGTCTTAGCGCTTGCCCAGGGGCGGAGGCGCAGCTGCGGCGGCTCGGGCGGCGCCTGGCTCGGGTGCTGCTGCCGCTGCGCGCCCGTGCCCTCTCGGTTCGCCGCGCTGGAGAAGTGCACGTGGTGGCGGCAGGTTCTTGGCGCGAAGGGTCGGTATCTACCGGCCCCGAAGGTTCCGACCAACCGCACTGAGGTCTGATTTGGCGCCTGGGCTCTGCCCCAGCAATGGTGGAGGGCGGCGGGAAGCTGGTGCGGCTCAAGGAGCTGGAGCTCGGTGCCGTCAACACGGACCGATCAGGGCGCTTTGCTCGGGGCACGAGTCGGGGATCTGTACAGACCGCTCGCGGCGGACCTCGCGGCCGTGGGCTGGTCCTCTGAGGACATGCTTGTTGTTTCTGGCTCTGGCTCAGGAGGCAGTTTAGTGGCGGTGTCCGTCGACGGCGAGTCGGGTCGGCAGCAGTCGCCATGAGATGTAACGATCATGGCCTGGACAGGGTGGCTGGAGTCGCCTGCGGCCTAGAGGGTCGCAGAGAGACGGTCCCGAGGGCCGAGCTCCGCGCGTTCTCGCTAGCATTGAAGCAGTTCTCTGGCCCAGTGCTGTCTGTCATGTCATGGATTGTGCACCGCATTTGCAAGGGTGGGGTACAGTGCTCCAGGGGTCCTGCACGGGCCCCAACGCCGACTTGTGGAGGTTCATGGAGGCTCTCTCCAGGAGATGTGGAGAAGCCAAGGTCGTGTGGACTCGGAGCCATGGACAGGGGCGTGGCCAGAGGGAACGACGCCGCCCACGCTCTTGTGGGCGAATCCTCGAGGCGTGCCTTGTCGGTCGCTCAAGTCGGGAGGGCTCCCGCCGGGGACGCGTGGGACTGCGCGGCGGCGTTGTTGCGCAGGCGCGCCCGCCAGGCGTTTGTTGACGCCTCGGTGGCTGCTCTTTGGGCGGCAGAGAGGCCCGTTATTGCCCGTCCCCCCCCGAAGCCTGCTCTCCACAAGGCTCTGTCTGTATCCGCCCACTGTTCTGTCAGGGCGAGGCGGCGCTGGGCCCGTGCGCTATGCCACGGGCTCGTCGCTGCCAGCGCGGTGGAGGCCGAGTGTGCCGCCGATTGTCGCGCCGTGGCACGGCGCCCGAACCGAGAGGCATCCTGCGGACAGCATTCGTGGGGCGGGTGGGGTGGAGATGTGGGTTGGAAGGGAGAAGCTGTGCGAGTCCCATTCCTTGCAGCTGTGGCCCCGCCGCAGCTTTTTCAGGCTGTTCCCCTTGCGGGCGCACCGCCACCATCAACCCTGCGACCTCTTGGGGGCTTGCGGAGGAGAGATTCGTAAGGACCGCGAGAACCTTGCGCGGATCGTCAGGGGCTTGCGCCCCAGTCGACGGGTCTCAGTGGCGGTTGCCGCTTTCGACGAGGGCAGGGCGAGGTTCGAGGGGGCCCTCCGCCGCCCCCTTGTCGAGATGCGGCGCTCCTCGGTTGCTCTCCAGGTCGGCCCCCGCCAGTTCGTGGCTGCCAGGAAGCTCAAAGGAAGCCTTCCTAGGCGGATGGGTGCCCTCGGGGTAGGAGGCGGCGGACTGCGATGCGCGTCTCGCGGCTGACCTCGCGCGCGGTGCGGGGGCTGGTCGATTATTATGGGTGGGGCGTTCTTGGAGGCGCACGGCCTCTCTACCCTCCTCCTCCTCCTCCTCCTCCTCCTCCTCCTTCCCCCCTTTTCGCCACCTGCTCCTCCTTCCTCCACCGCCCGCTTCCTCCGATGGGCAGGGGGCGCAGCAGCAGCGCGACGAGGGGAGGAGGAGGAGGAGGAGGAGGAGGAGGAGGAGGAGGAGGAGGAGGAGGAGGAGGAGGATGAGGAGGAGGAGGAGGAGGAGGAAGAGGAGGAGGAGGAGGAGGAAGATGCAACACCTACGGTGTAGGGGTCGTAAGTAGTGACAGTGATTCGGCTAGTTTGTTTTTAGATGCGCCTATGAGTTTGCGGATGTTTCCATACACATATTGTGTGTGTGTGTGTTGGCGGGTACGTGTCTGTCTTAGAGGAACGCATCGGCTCGCGCTGTAAAGCATGCGAGTCGCTGCCCATTTTGGCTCAAGACTGGAGTGACAGAATCGGCGAACCTTGGCGCGGAAGGTAAAACAAAAAGGACATCGATTTCGTTGAGGCAAAGGTCATCTTAGTCAGACAGTTCAGTGTATTGTCAGACCACTTGGGAGGGTCTGCTACGCCATCTAGACGACCCAGGAGAACATTTAGGTCCTGTTAGAACAAGTCACGGCTATCACGCTCGGGGATCCCTCGCCTTCATTTCGGACTTCATCCGCAGCAGTCCGTTGGGTCGCAGCGGGTTCCGTCCTGCCTCCTGTCTCAGTGTTTTTAGGATCAGGACAGGGCCGCAACCTCGACAAACGTGGCCCTTACTACCAAGTAGCGCTTGAGGAAGAAGACGCCACAGGCAACAGCAGTAGCATGAGACTAACAAGCCGCGTCGGGTATCCAATACACGTGGGACTTGCCAAACTTGGGCTGCTGCTTGCAACGCAACAGCTTGCGCGCTGCCTGCCGGCTCTCCTCCTCGTCCTCGGGCATTGCGTCTCCTGCTGCATCCAGCATGTCCTTGATATCCTCCATGCCTGTCGCGTTGGGGTCCTCCAGTTGCTTGGCACTGCGCTCCTCAGCCTTCGCTGCATATTTAGCCCGAACAGCTTCAGCATTCCCCACTGGAGCACCCGATGGACCAGCACTCGAATCACCTGCATCTGTTCCAAGCACCGTGGCCCTCGCGTTGGAGATGCTTTGCGACGTCGCATTTGAGATACTTGCTGCAATCTTCCGAGAGAGATCATCCGCACCCACACCGCGCAATGTTTCACCCAATGTCGTAGCATCAAGCCCAAAGTCAGCGATCTTCTGCTCTTCGCCTTTGTCACTTTACGGGGGCATGACACTGGGCTTCGCGACCTCCGTGGCTTGAGCTCACATGCCTTCTAGCTTGACCTTCTTCTCGGCAATGGCTGTCTCAGCAGATTCGATGTCTTTCTGAATTGTCACAATCTGAGATGTCTTGCCATCCACTAGTTTCTCCTGCTGTGTGACCTGCAGCACCCTGGCATCAACCTTGTCGGTGAGATTGAGCACTCTGGCCGCCTCTGGCTTGTGCTGATCGGTGTTTGACCGAAGAGCTTCGCGCTCCGTGGTGAGGCACACGAGTAGGGCAGACCATTCAGGACCTTCACATGTGCCGGCCATGTTGATATGCTTGCCGGGTCCAGCAAATCGAGAGCTTGATTTGCCCTCGGCATAAGAGCCTCCCCCGCCAGCCCCTGAGCCGTAATCGCTATGCTCAGTATCCATGGCGTTGGAATCCTGGGCATCCGCCACAGAGGAAACACCCTTTTTGGGTGGTAGCCTGTGTGCGCTGGAGCTCCTCATTCGTTTCATTCTTTGCCCAAAGATGCTTCTGCTGCACCATCCGTATACTGGGGGTCTAGGGTACCTTGTAGCTGTGGAAGCATGACCCTTTCGACCGACGGCACTTGTAGCACACGTCTCGATCAGGCTTGCTGAAGAATCGCTATCCTGTCTTCGTGTGGGTGCAAATAGCAAAGCCGGCTGTGCCAGAACGGCTGAGGAGGAGGAGGAGGAGGAGGAGCAGGCGGAGGAGGAAGAGGGGGAGCGATGGGGACCACGAAGGCCAGCAGGATGCCGACGGCGAAGGGCTGAGGCGGAGGGAACGACCGGCGCCAGCGCACGCGCGCAGCGCAGAGAGAAAGACGGGCTCCAGCCACGGAGCAGCCCTCGGAGAACTGCCGCAAGGCCTGGGGGTGCGCACCTCGACTACGGCAGGAGGATGTGATGAGAACTTTTCCGTTCGGGAACCTAGGGGCACATTCGACGTCAGTCTTTCAGCTTCCTGAGGTGCTCAAGTGCTTCTGTGGGTCCCATGGGCCATCGGGGTACAGTCGGGGCGCTGAAGAAGGAATCCTTTTCGTTGGGGAGGGGCTCCGTGTTCCTTGATGGTTTTACAGTTTGCCCTGCGTTTTCCTTAGGTTTTCCATGGGAAGTCGAAGTTTAACTGATTGGAAAAAGGGGCCTCGTTCCTTATTTTGGGTTCCTTAGGTCAACGCCCCGACTGTATAAGAAACTTCCGTGGGGCGCTTGCAGGTCGGCCGCTTTTTTATCGGATGTGCCGACCGTAGGGCCCGCCCAGCATCGGGTCGAGGCAGACGGGGCTGGTGGACGGCGCCGCACCGCCGATGCATCGGCAATGCGGCTCGATGCGGAGCCCGATGATCTCCACGCCGACGTCGTCGATGCATCGGCGATGCGGCGCGATCCTCCGACCCCATGCGCTCGTAATTGCCCCGCCTGGGCTGCCTCCCGAGATCCTTTTCGATTCGCTCCTCCTGCTTCCATGCCCTTCCCCCCTCCGCCTTCTCGTCGTCGTCCTCCTGCTCCTTTTTGCTCTGCTCTGCTCGGATCGCACTTGCCAGGGTTAACCGCAGGGGCTGGCCGGGAGGATTGGCAGGGATTGGCCAGAGCGTTAGCCCGGATTTGGTTGGAGGGTTGGCCAGGGTGATTATGTAACAGTTTTTCGTTTCTATATCATTTATGTTTTTGAGATTCGCAGAACGTCTCTCGTTATTGTTAGAGGGATTTTGTTGTCGTTCAGTCACCTGCCACTCCTAGGCCGTGCCATCATCATATCCTCAATCAGTAACAGCAGTGTAATAATTAACATCATCATCAGCATGACCATCGTCATCATCATCATTATCATCATCATCGTCATCATCATCATCATCATCATCATCATCATCATCATCATCATCATGATCATCATGATCATCATCATCATCATCATCATCATCATCATCATCATCATCATCATCATCATCATCATCATCATCATCATCATCATCATCATCATCATCATCATCATCATCATCATCATCATCATCATCATCATCATCATCATCATCATCATCATCATCATCATCATCAATCATCACCACCACCACCACCACCACTATCATCATCACCAACCTTTCTCATCGACACCGTCATTGTCACCGTCATCGTCATCGACATCAGCATCGAAATCATCATGTCTTCATTAAGTGCTGTGTAATATCGTGGAACTTCTGCTGTGTACTTGATGCTGCCCTGCAGGTCCTGAATCCCACCCTTGTTTGTTTTAGCTTGACTTCCACGCCAGGTCGTACACCGGACGTTTTCGCAGAGTGGCCGCATTCTTGACGTCCCTATTGTAATGGCCTCCGGTCAGTGCCGCCGATCCAGGGGGCTCTGGATTCGGTGATCTTCGCGGCTCTGTGGCCTCCTCCCTCCTCGATTATTCGGGTCCTCTTTCTTCTCCCTAGTTCTCGTTGTCCTCTGCCTCCCGCTGACCCTTTTGCGTCGCGTGCTCGCTCCCCTCTCCGTCCTCGCTCGTCCTCGTTCCCGCTTGGGGGGTGCCGGGAGAGGTCCCGGGAAAAGTCCGGGGAGGGTTCCGAGGGGAGGGCCCCGGGGGCGGTAGCGGCTAGATCTGAGGGGGGTCCCTGGGATTCCGGACCCCCCGAAACATCTTGGGGATGCGCAAGTCATTAAGAAAACGCCAGATGGGGGACCGCCCCCCCCCTCCACTCCTTCACTGTGCTCCGATCAGCCTTCGCTTCTTCATATGCAGCCTGGGCCATTCTCCTCACCGAACGTCCACCTTGTCTTTTTTCGCAGCCTGCGTCGCTCCTTTTCTCCCTTCTCCGACTGCTCCAGATGCTGTTTGGTTAACCCTAAAAAGGAGGGTTCTTGCACAACGATCGAAGTGCAGCTTATAGGGGGTATGGGGTATAACATGTTGGGTGCAAGCCATGGGGCGAAACGCATGTGCTGAATTCCAGATGCTGCGCGTATGCAGTCCATCCCCTCTTCACGTTTGCGCCGACACCTTGCTTTGGCATTTGTGTCGCCCAACTTCACGGATGTCGTCTGGGTTTGCCTGTCGGTCTAATTCGTTTCTGACGGTGCTGTTTGCCTGACTCACACCGAACGATCGACCTCTGCGTGTTCATGGTCGTCACCGGGATTTTTAACGGCATTGGGTTTGGGAGTATCGGTTCTGGCTCTCCTTCTGAGTGGCTACCCGCTCGCTCGCTTCGCTTGCCTTTCTTTTCCTGCTGACTAGTCGCGGCCCGACTAGTGCTCGGACGGCTTTCGACCCGCCTCGCGACCCTGTTGACCAAAAGTAAGCAGTCCATCGGTACGCTCCCCTGCGGTCTCATTTGCCGGTCGCTTCAGTGGCTGGATCGCGCTCGTGGCTTGGCGGTTGTTGTTTGAAGGTTTACCTGCACGGCAAGGCGGCTCGGACATGGCTACTGGGTCACTGTTCTTAGGCTCCCACCTCGTGGCCATCCGCACCGCCCCTTTTGGCTACGGCTTCTGCGCCATTTTGGCTGCGTCTTCTTCGCTGGCACTGTGGAGATCGTCTCATCGGTAAATTCTTCACTACGTGTTTGCTTTGACGCTCTTCGGGCGAATTGTGTTCGCCACGCTCATGTGCAAGGTCTTCGTGTTCGGCATGCTCTGCTGCCGCTTGCTGCTTGGTCGGTCGCGGCCCTTAGCGTGCCGTCAGTCATTGTTTGTCCCTTCGCTACCGGCGCGGCCCGCCGTAGCAGGCTCGGCGTTCGACTCGTTTCGCGCGCCCGCGGACTAAAAGTATACAGCCCATCCAGAACACAATCAGTGGAGAGTAGCCTGGACCTTGGACTTACGGGACCATGCGGTGACGCAACTAGAGCAGGGGGGCCAGCTTCGCATCACTTCCGCGTTTTTTTCTTTCTGTAGAAAGCGGAGGGCCTCCCGTGATACAGTCAGGTGTCGACCAGGGAAAAACGGCCCGACACGAGTTTGCGAATCTTGCCTGCGAGGCCCAAACGGGCCTTTCGCGCGCGCATGTTGAAATCAGTCGGACGCCCTTGCGCGCGTTCTGGACGAGGGGGGGGCGCGATCCTTGCCAAAAGGAACCATGCGGGCCACTCGCGCGCTTCGGCCGCGCGTGCATGCCGAAATCATTCCACAACCTACCGACGCATGGACGCCATCATCGTCGGCGGCGCGATCCGCATCGGCTCCGTCCTGTGCCTTGCCGTCGTCATCGTCATCGTCGTCATTCGCATCGCTGCAATCATCATTGCGTCTGCAGTTGTCGACGTCGCCATGATGCCGACTCGCACTGAAGTGCCTGCGCGTCAGCGCGGCTTCTGAGACGCGCTGGGAATTCCTTGGCGGTCAGCGCCGCCGCGGCCGTTTCGGTCGCGCCAGACTAGCTGGCCGCTCTGCGCGCCCGTCTGCGGGCGTTAGCGCGGCCGCGGCGCGCGCCGGTTAGCGCCAGGCAGGCGCCGCAATTGCCGCCTGCAGCGGAGTTGGCAACTCCGAGCTTTTCAAACGTATGCAGCACATATACTGCTCCGTGTATGACGCCGCAACATAGGTTGCATATCTATTACGCCATATCTATATATACAGACATTGGCCCCACATATTGCACCACATCTGGCACCGCATATGGCGCCACAGGTGGCGCCGCATGGCACCGCGCATGGCGCCTCGCATGGCGCCGCATGGCACCACTATTGCAGCGCGCAAGGTACCGCATATGGCACCGCATATTGCGCCACATATGGCACCACATATGGCACCACATGTATATAATATGTGTTTAGGATCTATCCCCGTGCGATTCGCCGCTTTCTAGTGATGTGCAAGTTACATGTGGTTCTGCCCCATCGTTCATTCTAAATATGAATTCGCGCCATCCCATCCAGGTCGGTCTCGACCCATTCCCCCTTCATCCTTGCCAAGTAATAGTATGCGCGCGCAGTCGCTTATCTGTCATCAGAACATCCAAGCGTGTGACAGTCCACGCGCGCGCGTGGTCGCGCGCACGACATCGGAGTTTTGACGTGGATTTCAAGATCGATATCTCCGAAAACAGTTGAGTTCATCCACGTTTTGTTTGTTAGTTGTTTTGTTTTGTTGTTGTTTTTGTTTGTTTGTTTTTTTTGTTCGTGCGTGTCGGCCGGCGCGCTCTTCCAAATCCGCGAGATTACCTATGGTTTTTTCAACGTTTGACTAAGCGGGTTTCTCGCGCGCGCGCGTTGAGCTCATTCGAACGCCAGGGCGCGCGTGTAGGGGGTGGGGGCGGCCCTTGTCAAATCAAACCTTTCGGGCCACTCGCGCCCGTCGGCCGCGCGCGCGTGCCGAAATCCACCCGCGACCTTTATCGCCGACATGTGCGCGCCATCATGGTCATCGGCATGGCCATCATCAGCAACGTCATTGCCCTTGGCGCCGTCATCGTCATCGTCGTCACCACAATCGCCGCAATCGCTATCGTGTCTGCCGGAGTCGACGTCGCCATGGTGCCGCGCCTTTCGAGTCGCCGACTCGCATTGATGTGCCCGCGCGTCCGTGCGGCCTGCGAGGCGCCCTGGGAAGCCCCTGTGTGGTCAGCGCCAACGCGGCCGCGTCGGTCGCGCCAGACTAGCCGGCCGCTCTGCGCGCGAGCTTGCGCGCGCTCGCGTGGCCGCGGCGACGCGCCAGCCAGCGCCGGGCAGTCATCGCAATCGCCGCAGCATGGGTTTAGCAAACCAAGTGACGGGTGGGCGTGTCGGTGGGATGACTGCGCGAGCAGCGTGGTTGACAATTTCAAGTTCGGCAGGGCGAATTGCGCCGCGCAGATGGCGCCATTTGGATCGCGCGGCATATCTTGCGCAACGTAGAGGGCGCCGTGTAGATCGCACCGCGCAGATAGCGCCGCA